TTGCTTCAACTGTAGACTGTTCCCCTAAGTGGAAAATGGGTGCTGAGTGTGCAAAAAGAATGTAACAAACATCAGCAGGAAGATACTATTTACGATCATTTGAAGTTTGCCTTCATTGGAAAATTCTGAAATTAGGTTTAGAAAGGCAATCAGATTTAGCAAACTGCAAATTAGACAAAGCAAATGCAAAATGGTCATCTGGAATATGGATTGCACTTCTCTTTGATTCCCACTGTGCTTTAGCAGCACGACATCTTCAGTATCCTGGCTAATCAATCCCACAGGTCTTTGAGCTTGTTCTGAAGGAGGACCCTCTCACCAGGGGCAATATCCCCAGCTGTGCTCCTATAGGCTTCAACAGTCGGAAGAGTGGGGAACGAACTGGCAATTAATGACTCTGCTTTGGTACATCCACATATGAGTTGCTATCAGTTCTTAACTTATGGAGACCCATATATGTCAGAGTAGAGCAGTGAGCCCAGAGTTTTCAATGGCTAATTTGTCAGAAGTAAATTACCAGGCCTGTCTTCTGAAACACTCTTGGCTGGACTCCAACTCCTAACCTTTCAGATAGCAGCTGGGCACATTAACTGATTGCACTACCCAGGAACTCCTGGTCCACAATATGTTGTTGTTGTAGGTGTTGTCGAGTCAGTCCTGACTTACAATAGAACCAATACTGCCCTGGTCCTTTGCTATCCTCACAATTGTTATGTTTGAACTCATTGTTGCTACTACTGATCTAATCTATATCCTTGGAAGTCTTTCACCTTGTATTAACCCTTCATATTTGCAAGCATGATGTCTTTCTCCAGGGACGGGTATTTCCTGACATGTCCAAAGTATGAGGGAAGAGTCTTCCTTCTAAGGAGCATTCTGAATGTACTTACAACACAGATTTGCTTGTTCTTCTAGAAGTTCATAGTACTTTTAATATTCTTCTCCAACACCATAATTCAAATGTGTCAGTTCTTCTATGGCCCCCTTATTCATTGTCCAACTTTCACATGCATATGAGGAGACTGAAAATACCATGGCTTGGGTCAGGTGCACTTAAGTTTTCAAAATGGCATCTTTGTTCTTTAACACTTTAAAGAGGTCTTTTGCAGGGGATTTGCCTATCGCAATATGCCATTTTATTTCTTGAATGCTGGTGAGTTATTATTGTGGATCCAAGCAAAATGAAGTCCTTGACAACTTCAATCTTTCCTCCATTTATCATGTAATTTATTGGTCCAGTTGTGAGGATTTTCATTTTCTTTACATTGAGATGCAATCCTAATAAAATTTGTAGTCTTTGATCTTCATTATTGTTTTAAGCCCTCTTTGCTTCCAGCAAGCAAAGTTGTGTTATCTACATATCACACATTGTTAATGAGTCTTCCTTCAGTCCTGATGCCAGTTCTTCTTCATATAGTCCAGCTTCTTGAATTATTTGCTCAACATATAGATGTGATGAAAGGATATAACAAAGGCACACATTTTTCCTGATTTTAAAGCACTAAGTATCCCCTAGTTCTGTTTGAGTGACTACATCTTGGTCTGTGTACAGGTTCCTCATAAGCACAATGACCTGGTCTGGAATTCCCATACTTTGTGACGTTATCCAAAGTTTGTTACAATCCACACAGTAATGCCTTTGCATGGTCAACAAAACACCAGTAAACATTTTTCTGGGACTCTCTGCTTTCAGCCAAGATCATCTGATGTCAGCAAAAATATCCCTCATTTCATGTCCTCACTTAAATTTCTGGAAGTTCCCTGTTGATGTAATGCTGCAATCATTTTAAATTATCTTCAGCAAAATTTTGCTTGCATGTGATATTAATAATATGGTTTGGTGATTTCCACATTTTGTTGGGTAACCTCTTTTTGACGTGGGCACAAATATGGAACTTTCCCAATGTAACTAACTGTCTTCCAAATTTCTTGGAATTGACAAGTGATAATAATGCTGCATTATTTAAAGAAAAACATTTCAATTTGTATTCAGTCAGTTCCTGGAGCCTTGTTTTCCACCAATGCTTTCAGTGCAGATTGGACTTCTTCCTTCAGTACTATCAGCTCTTGGTCATATGCTACCTTTTGGAATGGTTGAAAATCAATCAATTTTTTTCTAGTACAGTAACTGTATTTCTTCCACTTTTTCTGATACTTCCTGTGTCATTCAATATTTTATCCATTGTTGTTATAAACTGCTATCGAGTTGGTTCCAACTATAGTGACCCTGTATAGAGCTTCCAAGGAGCAGCTGGTGGGTTTGAACCGCTGATCTTGTGGTTCACAGCCCAGTGGTTATCCTACAGTACCATACCAGGAGTCCATTTTACACATAGAATCCTTCAGTATGGTAACCCCAAACTTGAATTTTTCAGTTCTTTCAGCTTGAGAAATGCTGAGCATGTTTTTCCCTTTTGGTTTTCTGACCCCAGGTCTTTGCATATTTCATTATAATACTATAGTTTGTCTTCTTCAGTTCCCTTTTGAAATTTCCTGTTCAAATCTTTTACTTCATTATTTCTTCCAGTCACCTAAACTCCTCCATGTTCAAGAGCAAGTTTGAGAGTCTAACAACTACTTTGGTCTTTTCTTTGTTTCCTGTCTTTTTTTGGGGTGCCGGTAGTGGTAGGAGTGGAGTGTCCTATCTGATGATCAGGATTCCAGGATCACCACCAGTGTCTGTTTTCATTTGTTCTCTATGTCTCTGTTACAGAGGGCCAGTTCAGTGCATCTGCCTACTCCACCATCTTGCCTGAACTTCTCTTTCCGTATTTGTAATGACCTTTTGCTTTCTTCATATATGAATTCTTTATGTCATCCAGCAGCTTGTCTGGTTTGTCGTTTGTGTGCACTATATCAAAGCTATTATTGAGATGGTCTCTAAATTCAGGTGGGCCATACTCATAATCTGTAATTGGTTAGAAAAGTTGGTACCTTAATTGAGTGTTCATGTGAAATGGTTTTCAGTAGGTATCTGATGGAGTTGGAATTTGGAGATGCCTATGAATTTGCATGAAGTTGTGTTGTGGCACTGTGGAATAAAGCACTTGACTACAGGTCGGTGGTTCAAACTCACCAGCCACTCTTTGGAAACCTATACAGGGTCACTATGAGTCAGAACCAACTTGATGGCACTTAACAACAATGAGTTTGCATTTCTCTTTCTGTTTCCTTGTGTGGTGCTGTGGGATACTGCAATGGAAAGAAAAGTTGGTTTGAATTGCAGTCAGCAATTCAAATTCACCAGCCACTCCTTGGAAACCCTATACAGGGTTGCTATGAGTCAGAACCAAGTTGATGGCACTTAAAACAGCTCCCTCACTTTGGACTCCTGTTCCTTTTCACATAATTATAACTGGAAGTCACCAGCTTCTAAAAATCAGTAGTGAAAAAACACAAAATGGTATAGCTTCAGTGTTGTGGTCCAGCAGAAATTTCAATATTGCTTAGTTTTTTCTCTTTGCAACTAGTACTGATTCCCAAAGTCATATGGTACAGGCAAGCCTGTGGAAGGAATGCAATGTTTTCATTATGTAAAGGAATAACTTATTATAAGAGCCTTGGCAGAACTATTATAATGAGCTGAAGATTTCTCTAGAGGTCCCTGGCCTATTTGATAACAATAGGAAACACAAGAAGGTTTATAATCTCCAGTATAGGTATGCTATTAAGTCATAGAAATGTTATTTTCTTCTACCTAGCTCACTGAGTAGTGGCTATGGCTGTTTTTTTCATTGAAATGAAACCTGCCTTCTAATAACATAATTCCAGGTTAAACCTACTGCTGTGGTGTCGGAGGATAGGCCCCAAGGCTTAAACCAATTTTCAAACATACTAATCTAAAAAGAACAAATTATAAAATTCAGGCTATGTTAAATAAAATCTAAGAGAAAATTGATATACAGTTGGTAGCAGTAACAAACATTTAAAAAGAACTTATAAACCATGATCACTGAGAATGTTTTGTTAGCTTTTTAAGAAATTCCTTATGAGTCTGAAAAAAGACTTCTTTTTAATTTTTACTTGTGGAATACTTAGACCAGGTCTGTGAAGCATCAGTGCTTCAGTGGGGCCCAGTTTGGCAATCTGTCATAGAAGTGAACAGGCTATATAGTGCTTGTTACAGATTCAACTGTGAATCTGAAGATGTCAGCTTGGCTGGGCCATGATTCTGAGTGGTTTGGCAGTTATGTCACGACACAATCATCCAATATGATGTGATCAGCCAATTAATTTTAAGGGGATTAGAGTGGGATGCTACACTCAGGTCACAACCCGATCCAATGTAAGGGGAGTTTCTCTGCAGTGTGTCTTTTTATCCTACAAGGGATTAAAAGGAGAGAGCAAGCTGACAAGGAGAAACCCCACTGCCAAAAGCCAGGAGCACAGCATAGCCTTTGGACCCACGGTCACTGCTCTGACAACCTCCTAGATGCAGAGAAAGACTGATGACAACATTCAAGGAGATCTTCATGGGATGCTTGGCCATGAGATGTGAAAACGCACAGAGACCTTCCTCCAGCATCAACAGAGAGAGACAGCCTATCCCTAGAGTTGGCACTTTGAATTTAGACTTGCAGCCTTAAACTATGAGACAATAAATTTTTGTTTGTTAAAGCTAATCACTTGTGGTACTTCTAATATAGCAGCACTAGATAACTGAGACAGTGCTGAAGTAATAGTTACAGTTGAATTAATGATACTGTCATGATTATGTCCTTGAATGCAATCCCAAAGAGTTTACTTTGATGGTTTGCTAAGAGTTGAGGTACAGGAAAATCTGACACTAGATTTTTAAAAGTTTGACTTTATTCATGGCTTAGGGGAGAAGTGAGGAACATTTAGACCTTAGACTCTCACTCTGCAGTCACGTCAGAGTGAGTAAGAAACCTGTCCACCAGTGTGTGCTGATGTCATGCCTGTTTCAAGCTGAGAGAACAGCATCACTGCTAATTGACAGTCTAGGTGATTACAAAGGCTATGGTTTGAGAAGCAATGTATACCAACATCAAAGAGGGAAGGGATATTTATTTAGAGAGTTGTATCATCACTGGACAGTAGAAACAAGACATGGAGAAAACCAACACTTTTTACAATCAAAGAGGAATTCATTGTCACTTACTGTTTTCTACAGGAACTGGAGATGTGGCGTCGAATCAAACTCCTTCAACTATCTTTCACTGGGTAAGAAACTGAATGTGAAAAATCCATCCTGTTTTTGTTTCTACTACTTTCAATGTTTTTCTGAATGATACTTAAGCATAATTCAATGTGTCTGATGTTAGCAAGGCACTCAATTTAGAATTAATTTCTCTGGATGAAAATATGAGCCATATGTTTATATTTGTAATAACAACACTATGAAATTTGATCATTTTTGAGCAGACCGATATACTTTCATCTAAAAGGGACAACTCTGAAGCTTGTATTCATTTTGAAGCTTCAGCAGCTTTGAATACAGAGACCACACAAGTTTTCTAATCTTATTTTATTTCATCTCTCTACTGGTCTGACTGATTAGAGGCTCAAATAAAATTGTGATTCTTCTCTGCCTTGATTCTGTTACAGTATTTCTAGTCTTTCTCTTGGCACAGCAGCAACCGCAAGTAAATTAGTTGTTACAAAGTTGTAGCTGAGCGGCACTAGTGTTCTTTAGATGGCTGTTACACTAGATTTCCAGATGACTGGGATTTCTTTTCTTAATATATTCAGTCTCATTTCATAAATTATTTTTCTCAAGGGTGTGGAAAACCAATGGAGAAGCCCATACGTCCAAGTGTTCTCATGTGCACGTATATAGCTTTGATTTTGGCGACCAGCAGGGGGCTACATAAAATAAGATGAGTAAAAAAAAAAAAAAAAAAGTTGCACATATAGTAATTTTAATCCATTCCATTTTTAAATGCCACAATAAATTTAATTTTCACAATAAATTAAATAGCCATATTCAGTTTACAAAATAGAATTACTTAGTGTGAAACCAGTATTTACAACCATATACACTATGTACAGGACATTTCTCTTGGTTGACAAACAACATGGAAGGTAAGGACTTGACTTTCCAATGTGTGATTGACATGCTACAAGCGACACCATGGTCTGTACAAGAAAACAATAGTGCAAAATCATCACAGGGACTTTGGAACAATGTCAATTATATGAAATAAGACATTCTTTAAATAATAAGAAAATAGTATTTTCTGTTTTCATGGTACCAATTCAGCATCTGAATTGAAGAGCCAGCTTTCCCTTAGAAATAATGCATAACTGAATCCTCCACTTCCTGCAGCTTCACAGCCATTGGTATATTTCACACATTAATCTTTTGGCTTAAACCTGTGAAAATGGCGGGTGACAACTTCTGAGTCAAAGGAAGACTAACTGTTTGAGAATAGCTGAAGTCACTCTCCCCCAACCCCACCATCTCTCCTTTTTGTAAATAGCTTAAAAAGATGCAACTAGACAGAGAGCAATTTTGATTTGTAAATTTTCAGTAGAAAAAGAACTGATTTTATATTTGGTCACACACTGTGTATGTACAAGTATACTTGGAAAAATGACTTGGGTAGCTGTGTTTAGGAAAAGTGCATATTTTAATCTAGAGGAGACATTGTATGTCTCCAGGAATAACACATAGTGTTGTATGGCATATTACTTTAGGGCCAGTTCAATGTCCTCCCAGTGATCTGGTAAAATTTTTGATTAAAAGGGTGAAAGAATTTTCGCAATTTGGTAATGACAGAGGGGTCCACCTCTGGATGAATTCGCCCCTTGCTGCCTGCCAGGCACTTATTAAAGATAATGTTAAATCGCAAGCAGTAAAATCCTCTGGTAGCATTGAAGTATAAATTGTATTGACTTATCCTTGGAGGAAGATTTAGGAACTTCTCCACGAGCTGAAGTTCTGGCAAAGGTTCTGTGATGAGGCGATCTCCATCAACAATGTGAAATTGCTCAATTGGGAAATATTTTAGCCACCTTTCCAAATGTTTGGTGTAGATGCTGGTTCTTACTGCCTTATATTTTGTGTTCACTTCACAGGTATTAGGGTCTATTGCCAGCTTCTCAAACTTGTAATAAGTTTTGTTCTTCCTCTCCTTCCCCTCAAGCACCTGAGTGTAATCGGAAATAGCTCTTGTGGTTGGCTCCCTGACAATGATCAACAGCTTGATGGATGAGTTCATTTTGTAAATCCTTTCAGGAACCTCCTCCGTGATAAAATATGCTGGACTCTTTTCAATTGTGATTTGCTGAGGGTAGGAAAAAGGCATCTTTTTCCTATACCACTCAATGCCCTTGGCATAATTCTCATCATTGTCAAAAAAGTGGATTTCTTGGGATGCTTTGACCACTGCTGGATGGAGGTTCAGCATCTCAAGCAGTGCTCTTGTGCCTCCTTTCCTCACCCCAATGATAATGGCCTTGGGGAGCTGCTGGACCAGATCATGGAGGCGAACCTGTTCTTTAGAAGCGTTGCCTTTCCGGAACTCGTGCAGCAGCCCACGCTTGAACTGTAGGGCGCGGAGGGGGAAATCGGCCTGATTGCGGGCTCCAAATCGGCCTTCAATGGGACAGATGGGCTGTAGCCTGCAAGCAACAGAGAGACACGTGAAGAAGCTCATTGTAACTGACTTCTCATTTTCCTAGTTTCCCAATCAATATCAGTTACGACTTTCAATGCATGAATAAAAGCAAGGATTCACAGCCTACTGCAATCCACAATCAACATATGTTTGGGACATTTTATTTTAAGGAACCCTGTACTAATTGGAGCACACATAATTGATGGAATTCTTTTTTTTATTAATATCCCTTAAATTTTTTTATTCACCAAGCACTCTAGTAGCGTAGTTGTTACAAATCGGGCTGTGAACCTTAAGGTCAGCAGTTCGAAACTACCAGCTGCTCCACGGGAGAAAGATGAGGCTTTCTGCTCCCGTAAAGATTTACAGCCTTGGAAACCCTGTACAGGGTCGCTATGAGTCGGAACCTACTCCACAGCACATAACCACCACCATCAAGCACTTAATTGACTTGGGCGTGCACTTACGTTCACAGTACAGGATAGGTAAGTGACATTGGCCATACTAATAGCTTCTTAACAACTCAACAGTTCATATCATTTGGAAAATGTGCAAGGTTGAAGATTATAATCTTCCACTGAGAAACTGAAGGCAGCTAGGAAGTCATGTCTTTTGAGTTTCTATGATATTATTTTCTTGCAACTCAGCTGCACTCATCTGGTTCTCAAAACTCTTTGAGATAAAATCTGAATAGAGGTCTCAGTCTCTGTCCTTGGCTATTTGCATCATCAACCTTCAAAGTTCCAATTTTGGCACTTGCTGAGCTTTTCACTCTGAGAATTACAGGCATATTTCAGAGATATTGTGGGTTCAGTTACAGAGCACTGTAATAAAGCGAATATCACAATAAAGGGAGTTACATGATTTTTCTGGCTTCCCAGTGCATATAAAAGTTATGTTTACACTATACTGTAGTTTATTAAGTGTGCAGCAGTATTATGGGAACATATGAAATATTGCGAGAATTATCCATAAGTAATACAGTGACTGGAAAGTGGCTCCAATAGATTTGCTTGATGCAGGGTTGCCACAAACCTTCAATTTGCTGAAGTTTAGAACAATGAAAAAGGAGTACTGGTAGCTTCATGGATTACAAGCTGGGCTGCCAACTGCAAGGTCATCAGTTTGAATCAATCTACCAGTCATTCCTCCAGAGAAAGATGAGGCTTTCTGCTGCCATAAAAAATTACAGCCTTGGAAACCCTATACAGAATCACTATGAGTTGAAACTCAGTGGCACACAGTCGCCACCAGAACAGTGAAACAAGTTATGTCTGTATTGTCTTTGGCCTTGAGCAACCCAGAGGATACATGATTTCCTCTGGTCATTTCCTCTTTCTATCTAAGGACATGAGGATTGTGTTTTTGCTTTGCTGAATGTAGGACCAAACCCAATTGACATCACCTGTATATAACCTATCACACCTGGGGTTAGAAATCAACACGCCCTTGGACAGAAAACTTCAGATCCTCATGTCAAGTCCATTTAAATCAGAGATTTCAGTTCTTTCATGAAGAAAGGGATCCAATGGATAGAGTCAAAAAGGAGGATTTCCATTTCAACATTCTCTCTCAGAGGGCAAGATGTGGTAACCAAATTAAACTAAACATTTGCATTAATTCTGATACATGACAATGCCATATGTGTCAGGGTAGAGCAGTTCTTTATAAGGTTTTCAGTGGCTAGGTTTTCAGAGTACATTGCCAGGTCTTTCTTCTGATGTGCCTTTGGGTGGACTTAAATCTTCAGCCTTTCAGTTAGCAGGTAAGCACTTTAACTGTTTGTACCAGCAGTCAGTTTTTCTACTGTGGTAACAGTCACTTAACATTGATATTAGACTGGAGTGTAAATGTGCAATATGGCATGACCATTATTCATTGCTGAAACATTTCAGATTCCTTTTGGGTATTACTTAACCTAAACAGAGATTCATTGTAATTTTCTTAAGTCGATCTTGAAAAGCACTTTATCCTACTTGGTAAAGGGATACATTAGTTAAAAATAGCTATTAAACCAATTATTTCAACTGAAGTTTCTAATTGTCCTACTAATAGAGTGTAGTGGTTACGAGTCAGACTGCCAAACGCAAGGTCAGCAGTTCGAAACTACCAGCAGTTCCGAGGGAGAAAGATGAGGCTTTCTGCTCCTGTAAACATTTACAGCCCCAGAAACCCTGTACAGGGTCGCTATGAGTCGGAACCGACTCCACGGTACTTAACAGCAACAGCAGTAATAATAATAATGATAATCTAATAATCCATCTCTGTGAGAATGAGGCTGTGCTTGCTTTCCTCAAAAGATCCTTTGTACCTTGCTTGTCTTCTCTAATGTTTTTGATTAAAGGAAGAGGAGAAACCACCTCAAGGTCACTCCAAGGCCATTTCATCAAAGTGACGAGAAAGGGCTTGGGCCGTGCTCTGTTTAAATAGCTACTAATGGTCCAAGTACTAATGGAGTCCTGGTGTGGCACTGTGGGCTAAAGCGTCAGATTGCAAAGTCATCTGAACTGCAAGGGTGGTGGTTCAAGCTCACCAGCTGCTCATTGGAAACCCTATACAGGGTCACTATGGGTCAGAATTGACTCGATGGGACTTAACAAAAGCAACAAATGATAACGCTTTAGGTAAAATATAAACATAGATTTGATTTTTTGTGGTGGCTGTTACTTATAGTTTTAACTAAAAGTCAAGATCATTGAGGACAATGTGAAAAAAACACACAAAGTAACAGAATTTACCACAGTTAAAATTTTAGAGAAATGTGAATTTTATTTTTATAAATTTGATAATAGTATTGACATGTCAGAACTCTTCATGGAAGATAAAAATGATCAATATGTTATTTCATCAGCATTTATTCATAATTATGTTGCTGTTGTTAAGTGCCATCAAGTCATGTCCAACCCATAGTGACCCCTGTATAGGGTTTCTGAGGAGCGACTGGTGAGCTTGAACCGCCAACCTTGAGGATCAAACCAACTTTGCAGTCCAGTGCATTAACCCACAGTACCAGACCAGATGTCTATTCATAATTGTACATGTACTTAATTGTGATATTGTTTGGCGTATAAAAATATTTTCATTCAATTCTTCTTGGGTTCTGGTTGAAAGTTAAGCCTCACTTTCCTCTGGTATCCATTGAATGGATTTTTCTCTGATGAGCGTAGAATGATTTCATTGTCTTGTAGAAAGACTCTCCTGTCTGACCCAGAATGGAACTTTCCTATCTCTAGAAAGGTCATTTTCTTCAATAAATCCTTTCTTCTTTCTACTTTCTACTCAAGGAGCTCATACCCTGCAAAGAATTGTAGGTGGTGCCCCCTAACTCAGGCTAAGGAGACTTGCTGGTGCCATGGGCTAAGTGTGGTGTGGCTAACTGGAAGGTTGGCATTTCAAGCCCACCAGCTGCTCCATGGGAAGAAGATGAGACAGTTTGCTGCTGTAAAGACGTGCAGTTTTGGAAACCATATTGTTGGGCTCTTCTCTGTACTATATGAGTCAGAATTGACTCACTGGCAGTGGGTTGGGTTTGACTTAGGTGTGGAGAAAAGATCTCATTATGACTTGGATTCTGGACACAGGCCCCATGCTAAACAACAATCTTAGCCTTGGAAATAACTGAGCTTAGCCTCTCAGAACAGGGTCTTCAGTCACTTAAGGATGGGCCTAAGTCAGCATGTGTCAGGTTTGAAAATAATCTGCTTGAATTATTAAGTGAGAAGTTTTGAGAAAGTCTTCCAGCCAATCCAAAGAGCCTTGGTAACACACTAGTTCAGTGTTGGACTGATGACAAGAAGTTCTGCAGTTTGAACCCATTAGCCACTCTGGAAGAGAAAGATGTGGCAGTCCGCTTCTATAAAAATACAGCCTTGAGAACTTTATGGGGAAGTTCTACTATGTCCTAATGAAGTTCTATGAATCAGAATCAAATTACATACTTTTTTTTTTCCTTAGGGGATAGTTTACCAGGCAATCCAATTCCTACAAAAACTTCAGATTAGAGTCTAGAGGCAGGATTGTAAATGAGAAGAATCACCAACTAAATAGCTAATGTATTAATGATCCTTAGATCAATAATTCAATGAAAAGCAAATGATTCGATGATAATTAAAGATAGGGGGAAGAAGAGCTTGATATAAAAGGTTCATTATGGACATAGGAAATGCTACAATCTTAAGACTTCACTACTACTTAAGTATTTAGGTCAGTCACAGGCTCTCAATTTTCCATTTTTCATGGTAACTAAACAGCAGCAAATTTACTCAGGAATTTTGAAATAAAAAGCATTAAAGGGGTTTATTTTGCCAATTAAAATTGATACCAACTGAAGAAAACCCAAAGATACATTCTTTATTAAATACCCTCTATTTTGTTAAATAGTGATAAACTACAGATTATTTTGAAAAATTTGGAAGGATGATATTTTCATTCTAAAGTATGGCAACTTTTTCAGAAACAATAGGAATTGAATTCATGGAGAACATACTTCGGTTTTCCCAGTGCAAGTAATTGATTTTAAAGGGCAAAGGAAAATGCTTCACATTTCAGAATTTAACTTCTCTGTCCTTTCCAGGTACAATGGGTGCAGGCCAATGTGAAAGGCATTCAGTGTGAACCCAGCTGATATGACTGGACTTTTGTAGGCCCAGTACCTCTCAAGCGCTTGCTTATCTGAAGCCAAATTCTAGCTCTGTAATTTCCTCTCCATGGATTTTCCATTGCTTTCTGGACAATTACTTGGAGTGACAGCATCCTTGTGTGTACATTCAGCTTCTGAAAACTAGAGCTAATTAACATAGTTAAAACTCCCAAGCCTGCAACCATCTTTTCAGGGCAATGGATTCCAAACTTGAGCTCCTTTACAGGCTCATACATAAATTTTACTCTCCTGGTAGCACATTAATTGTCCACTCATAAATTTCAAAATGAAGACACATAAATAGATCACCACGATTTTGCTGTGGCAGAGGTCAACATCAGGTGCAGGCAGGCCACATTGAGCTCTAGTACATGGCATTCTTACTATATGCAGCTTTATCCCTTTTCTGAAAAAAAGTGTTAGTGTACGTGGAATACAAATAGATCTTGACAAACACCTTAGCTTGAGCATCTTGGATCTCTCTTTCTTTTAAAGGCTCAATAAATAAAAATCAATACTGCAGAAAAGACTATTTCTTGGGAATTTTGATGGAGGAAAACAAATGGATATATTTAAAATTACATTCCAAGGAGGTATGAATCAAGAGACTCTTAAAATCATATGGGCATAGTGTATATTTAATCACCTACCTATCCAAGCTCCCAACTCTGGCAACTAGATACAGGAGACTCCCAACAGCAAGGCTTCCCAGCACGAGGAGCTTCTGTGTCAGCCACGCCTGCTGTTTGAATAGCATGGCCCTCCATCAATCTTCAGGACTTCCGCAGTCTGAAAGACAAGGACAAGAAGGGGCTTATCAGCAATAGATTCATTTCTTATAGGTTCTGTTGATTGTCACAAAGCCGACCAGTGACAGAATACAAGTGGCACCACACAAAAAAATACACCCATATCAATCCTGAAAAATTCCATGGTATAACAGGTATTTAGCAAAACTTACCTTCCCCTTCCTGGCCCATGCTGTAAGATTAAATACTAAATCTAAGGGGATGTTACTAACTAGATAGAACCTCTTATGCAACTGTAAAAGTAGATAAAATGTATGAATTTTATTATTGATTATATATATAAGGAGCTCTGGTAGCGTAGTGGTTACGAATCAGGTTGCTAACCTCAAGGTCGGCACTTCGAAACTACCAGCTGTTCTGCGGGAGAAAGATGAGGCAGTCTGCTCCCGTAAAGATTTACAGCCTTGGAAACCCTGTGTAGGGTCAATATGAGTCAGAACCGACTCTACGGTACTTAACAACAACAATATATATATATGCATCTTATTTATTTTTATAGTATACACATATACAAACACATGAGGGTAATTAAAAATGTATTGCTATTAGAGTTCCAGTTCATACATGCATAAGTTTATACCAAACAAAGTGTGTTTAATCCTGTTTCTGTGATTGGTGAATGGCTGCAGACAAGTTTGCATTTATATCTTAGTCTCCTTAAGATTCCTTCCAAAACAGGATCTATTCAAAACGGTGGCTTCAGAGGGGATCTGATGGCCCATTCAATTTAAGGCAAAGAGATCAGCTCAGAAAGTTATGACGACTGCTTTTTGGGATTCCAAAGAGGTAACCTTGGTAGATTTTCTTAAAGGAAACAAGATGATCATGGGAGCTTATTATGAAGACATTTTAAAAGAAAATTGAAAACTGCATTGGTGAGAAAAAGGCCAGGAAAGTTGCGGTTATTTTTTTTCCATCATGCCCATGTCATTCTTTGGGGGTAGCAGAGCTGTTCTATGAGGTTTCACTGGGAAACGTTATCACATGTACTTGGTAGTTCTGGTACTGCCCTTTCAGACGTGTTTTTGTTCCTCCAAATCAAAGGACACTTCAAACACATAGGATCTGACTCCTTAGAGGATGCCCACACTACAGTTTTGACATGGTGTAACTGGAGAGTGAAGGATTCTTTGGGGAAGGGTTAAACCAAAGCGAAACTCATTGCCATTAAGTGGATTAGAACTCATAGTGACCTTGTATAGGGTTTCCTAAGCTGTCAGTCTTTATGGGAGCAGACTCTGCTTTGTGGTTGGTGGGTTTGAACTGCTGACTTTGGGATTAGCAGTCCAGTGCGTATTCCTCAGTAGCACCAGGAAGCATTAGAGAAATGAAACACCACCATATATACCAGACAGAGGCTATGTGGAGAAACAGTAGGTTCACATTTTGATAGTTTTGTTTAATAATGGTGTCTATGATTTTGTGGCATTCTGGTGTGGTGCTGTAGGATAAACTCTGGACTTCTAACTGCAAGGTCAGCAGTTCAAACCCACCAGTCACTCTTTGGAAACCCTATACAGGACCACTATGATTTGTACTGACTTGATGACACTTAACAACAACAACATGACTTTTTAGTAATACTTTGATTTACTTCATGTGTATGTGTGTATGTATATATGAGGGGGCTTCTAAAAGTTCATGGAAAAATGGAATTAAAAGAATGAATTTTTTCAAAAACTTTCTGAAGCTTCCTTGTGTGTGTGTTTGCATATATGTATGTGTGTATATGTGTGTGTGTTTATAACCAAACCCAAACTTACTACCATTGTGCCAATTGTGACTCATAGAGACCCCATGTAGGGTTTTCCAAGACTGTAAATCTTTATGGGAGCAGACACACTCCTCTTTCTACTGTAAAACAGCACAGTTGGTGGTTTTTTAAAACTTTGAACGATTTGGTTAGCAGCACAATGCCTATCCCACAGTGCCACCAGGGATATATATATATACATACACACACACACACACACACACACATACACATATGTAGTTGCGTGTCTGTTGAATCAGTTCTAACTCACAGCAATCCTGGATAGGGTTTCCAAACCTGTAAATCTCTATGGGAGCAGCAAGTCTCATGTTTCTTCTATGGAGGAGCTGTTGGATTGGAACCAATGACCATGAGTGTAACAGTCCAATGCTTAACCCACAATGTCAGTAGGACTCCCGTATATGCATATGTATATATGGAGTAAATCATTCAAAGTGAAAGAATACTGGTAAAATGATCACCATGAGGCTTGCCTACCGCATAACCAGTGAACTGAAAGCTCTTTCAGAATGAGACAGCAAATATAGAAATTCGAATTTCATTTGAGTTAATTATCATTTTGGGCATAACAATGCCATAATTTAGTTGGGTAGTTTTTGTCATGTTTTGTTTTAACTGTGAATGGATAAAGGGAGCAAGAACAAAAGCTTCTATTATTAGAAATAAATCCAAGTCCCTTTTTCAAGATAAGATCATTTGCTTCTTATTGAAGCTCTAAATAGTAACCAAAGAAGAGGGAAACTACAGCAAGTAATTGTGGTTAGAAATTGTTTTGCTTCAATGGTAACTCCATGTTTTCTATGTGAAGATTCTTCTCTATGAAAAAAGAGATAGACTAGGGTTTATTGATTCACTTTTTCATTTATTTGTAAAGAGTTTACTGAGTACCTATAGCTTTCACAGTTACTATATTAGGTCTATGGAGGAATTCCAAAACAGATCTTGCGAGAGTTTTGGCTATTGGTAAACTGATAACCAGAGAACACAATACAACCCAATTCATGATAATGTACAATTAAATGCTAGAGAATGACCATTAGGGAAGAAGCCAGAATATGGGTTTCATGGGAATGCTTTCTAGTGGAATGAACTGCATCACTTGGTGAGATGCTGCAAGAGAATGGGCTAAGGTTAGGATATAATAGCAGCATTTATCCAAAACACAGTTGACAAATATTTTTGGAGCATCCTTTAAATGCGTGGTTCTGTGCTGGATGCTATGGAGATAAGAGCAAACTAAACACATGGTCTGCCCATCTGGGAGTCTAGATTATTGGAGAAAACAGACGTAAAAGCAGTATGGGAATGATTAATATATACTTATGTTATTGTTATTGTTGTTATGAGCCGTGGAGTCGGTTCCGACTCATAGCGACCCTTTATAGGGCTTCTGAGGCTGTAAATCTTTACGGGAGGAGAAAGCCTCATCTTTCTCCTGTGGAACAGCTGGTAGTTTGAACTGCTGACCTTGCGGTTCACAGCCCAATTCGTAACCACTACGCTACCAGAGCTCCTTAATATATACTTATAAGTAATAATAAATGCTAAAAAGAAAAACTACACAATGGAGGGTGAAAACATAACGGGAAATGCTTCAGTCTTTTATGAATAATTGAAATTTTGGCTAACCCCTTTAATGTAAAGAGCAAGATGCGCAGAAGTACAGCAAATACCTGGAGAGTCTGAGAAGTGAAAGAGGCTAGCATGCATGGGTACAGGTGTTAAGGGGAAGACGGAAAAGGCCGAGAGCAAAAGCAAAACCCAGGAAAAGAAGGGTAGTTGTACGGGACTAGGAGTCCTGGTGTGGTGCTGTGGGTTAATGTGCTTGACTGCAAAGTTGGTTTGATCTGCGAGGTTGGTGGTTCAAGCTCACTAGCTGCTCCTTGGAAACTCTATGCAGGGTTGTTACGGGTCAGGACTGACTTGAAGGCAAAGAGGATGCTTAAGTTCAGTGCTGTGATGGTGGAAGCTATATCACCGGTATTTTAAATACAAGCAAGGTTGCCCATGATAGACAGATGTCAAAGGAGCTTATAGACTAAGACAGACTAGGAAGAAGAGGCAGACCATTTCTGAAAGGTTAGTAAATGAAGACCTTATCATGAATAGCAGTGCAACAATGTTTGATAAAGTGCAGAAAGATGAGCCCTCAGACTGGAAGGCACTCAAAATACTTTTGGGTAAGAGTTGCCTCCTCAAAGTAGAGTTGACCTTTATGATGTGGATGAAGCAAAGCTCTCATGACCTTCATTTTCTGATGAAGCACAATTCAAAATGTGAAGAAACAGTTGAAAATATTCATTAATAATGAGTAATTGAAATGTACAAAGTATGAATGTAGGAAAATTGGAAGTTATAATAAATGAAATGGAACTCAAAGTTCTCAGGCATTTGTGATCTGAAATGGACTGGTATTGGCTATTTTGAGTCAGGCAATTATATGGTATAGTGTCACATTCATCATCAAAAAGTGCATTTCAAGATCTATCTTGAAGTACAATGCTGTTTGTGATAATATCCATACGCCTACAAGGAGAAGGAGATAATACCATTATTATCCAAATTTGTGCACCAATCACTAATGCCAATTATGAAGAAATTGAGGAATTCTACCAACTCCTTCAGTCAAATATTGATGAAACGTGTAATCAAGGTACACTGATAATTATTGGTGACTGGAATGTGAAAGCTAAAAGCAAAGAGGAAGGAGAGGTAGTTGGTGACAGAAATTATACTGGAGGTCCCATGATAGAGTTTTGCAAGACCAATGACTTATTGGCTGCAAAGTCATTTTTCAACAACATAAATAGTAACTATACACATGGACCTAACCAGATGGAATACACAGGGATCAAACTAACTACATCTGTGAGATGAGATGATGGAGCTCAATATCACAGGCTAAAACAAGGCCAGGGACCAATTATGAAACACCCATTAATCTCTCAGATTCAAGTTCAGGCTGAAGTTGAAGTCCACTAGAGTAAAAATATGACTTTGAGTATATCCTGCCAGAATTTAAAGTCCATCTCAAGAACAGATGCATCAGACACTAAATCAGAGGAGTTGTGGAATGACATCAAGATCATCTTGCATAAAGAAAGCAAAAGAGGTCATTAAACAGACAGGAAAGAAGGAAAAGACAAAAATCGATGTCAGAGGAATCTCTGAAACTTGCTCTTGACATAGAGAATCTAAAGTGATTG